TTTTTTTTTTTTTTTTTACAAGAATAATGGTTAAGAGTTAGAAATTAAGTTAGTATCTTACTCATGGCAATGCTCGACCACTAATCATGGGTGTAATTCACCGACAGTCCTTTTGGACTGCAGTGGTCACCAACGAGCCACAACAATGGAATGCCCCTACTACTTAGAAAGGAATCCAAATGTGAAATCTTATGAGGGTCAAAAAGACACGCTAGAATTTCACATCACCAGAGAAGTTGTGTCCATGAAGGCTAAAACCTTAACAAACATTTTGAACCTGGAAAACAACGGTCAGAGGCAGGTTTGTTATTCAATGAAGTAATGCTTTTAATCAACAAGGTAGCATAAACAAACATTATACATACCCACGTCTCCACGCCCTACAGAAAGAGTGATGGGTCTTAAAACCTCAACTTTCTTCACAATCTGGTAGCATTTACCGTTACCACCAAACCAAGTGCTGCAACAATCAAACAGAGGTAGGCTTTCAAGTTGTTGAGGGTGATCTTCATGTAGTTAAATAGCAAGATACAGACATGTTTCCATGGATGATCCAACTTTAACGCCAGAACTCCCAAAAATCCAAAAGCCATCCCGAGTTCCATGCTGGGTTTAAACCCTTTCCAGAATTCGTCCCCATCATCCTGGATATCTCTACCACCACCAGAGAAAGGTATCTCATCTTCCGGACATGTTGGTGTTAGCGGAGGCCCACATAGTGCATAATTATTAGCAAATGCATAAGCAGGAAAGCTCTCCAATTGGGTGCCCAACGGGATTCTCCCACAAAAGTTGTTATTTGACAAGTTCAATATACTGAGAAAACTTAACTGGGACATGCTTGAAGGAAGCTGGCCTGAAAGCTGGTTTCGTGACAGATCAAGTGATTCTAAGCTTCTCATTTGTCCGATATTTGCTGGAATCCCTCCCGTTAATTGATTTCTTGACAAATGCAATTGCATCAGTTCAAAGAGACTACATATCTGTTGTGGAATTTCTCCTGTTAAATTGTTGCTTGAAAGGTCAATGAGCCTCAGATTCCTGAGATTTTTTGCAAATTCATTTTCTGCTCCTTTCCACACAATAAACGCATTGTCAACATAGGGATAAAAAATACGGAGATGATCCCTCGTATAACTAGACAAAAAAAAAAATGATTACCAACCAAATTCTCCTTTCTGGTCAAGGCAGTCATATTATGAATGCACCATGGTATGTTTCCACAGAGTGTGTTGTTAGAGAAGTCCAGCACCATCATTTTTGTCAATTGGCATATCTGTAAGGGGATATCTCCGTAGAAATTATTGGATCTAAGGAGAAGGTAGGTTAGGTTCCCAATCTTCCTCCAATCCAGTCTGGCACTAGTCCTGAGAAATTATTATGACTCAAGTCCACAAATTGCAAGTGAATGCAGCCTCCTAAAGACCAAGGTATTTCACCAGAGAAGCTGTTGTTGCGCAAAACCAACGTTTCAAGCATGTTAAGAGATCCAATAGAGCTTGGAACTTTCCCAAATAAATGCGCGTGACCCAAATTTAGAATCTTTAAATTTGACCAACTTGCCATGCAATCAGGAAGCTCTCCAGATAGTTGATTGAACGAGATATCAAGCAACTGAAATGTGTTACCAGTTACAGAACAGAGAGAAGAAATATTCCCAGAAAACCCATTGTTGAAGAGTGATAATGACGACATATTAGCAGGAAATAGTGGTAATGGACCCTCCAACTTATTATGACTCAAATCTTTCAAAGGATAACCAGAAAACTTCATTGAGAAATATGGTAGAATTCCATAGATGCGGTTGCTAGAAATATTGATCTGATCTGCTCCAGAAGATATTTCCCAAAACCAGTCGGGGATGCTATCTGAAATTTCGTTCCTAGAGATATCAAGAATCATGAAGTTTCTTTGAGTCTGTAACCATTTTGGAAATTTTGGACCTAACTTGCAAGAACGGAGAAATATGTTATTCAACTGGAAAGGCGAATCTAGTCAAGGCTAATGTTGAAGCTCAAAAAATTAGAAGACAGTGCCAACACTTCTAACTTGAAGAGCTTTGAGAAATGTGCCTCTCAGTGATCACCCCATTAAAAGAATTTCCACTGATATGAAATGTCTCAAGCTCGGACAAGAGTCCGATGCAGTTGGGCACAGTCCCATTTAGTCTATTGAATGCAAGATACAACTCCTTCAATGATGAAAAGTTTCTAATTGCATTGGGTAAAGGTCCCATGAATTTGTTATCATATATGGACAAAGTCTCTAAGGTAAGTTCTAGACATCCGGATAAGTTACCAAAGAACTCAGGAAGCATTCCTTTGAGATTGTTATATGACAGGTATAGAAGCCTTAATTTGCACATGTTGCCAAAGGATTTTTGAATCCCACCTTCAAATAGATTAGCCCCGAGATATAGTTCTTCTAGGAAAATCATGTTACCAAAAGCTTCTGGAATCAAACCTTGTAACTGATTATGAAATAGGTCGAGATAGACAAGGGTGTTGCTAAAGTTGAAAAGCCATTGGAACATTGTAGCGGTCAAGTTATTATATGATAACTCAAGGACAGCAAGAGAAGTAGAAGTATTGTTCATGGGGAGAGGTTGAGGAATGATATCTAGAAGATTACAGGAATTGAGTTGCAGGTTGGTTAGATGAGGAAGCTTATTAACCACCTGCAGCCAGTTATTAACCTTACGAAGGTCGATTCCACTCAGATCAAGGTATTTCAAAAAAGAAAGATGAGAGAGCCACTCAAGATTATCAACACTGCAAAATTTGTTAAAACTAAGATCAAGGAAACGCAAACTTGTGAGGTTTCCTAACAGACTAGGAAGCGATCCACTTAACCTATTAACAGAAAGGTCAAGATATTTTAATTGCTTGAGTGAACTAATTGACTCTGGAATGCGTATAGAACCAATATCATTCCAACTGAGGTTTAAATAAGTTAAATACTGCAATTCAAACAGAGAAGGACTCAGCGTACCACTTAAAGATTTTTCATGAAGATCAAGCCAAATTACGTGCCCAATTCTGTTGCTACATTTAACTCCTGTCCAGCTGCAACAATCCTTCCTCCGTTCTTCACTTCCCCATGTGGAAAGCACATCTTGCTCATCAACCAGACTTTGTTTAAACATGAGTAGCGCTTGTCTTTCCCTCTCTATGCACCTAACCCCAGCAGCTCCGGATGTTGAATTGAATCCAGCAGCACTTCCCGCATGCAGTAAAATTACAAGTGCACAGACAAGTTGAGGGGACCGTCTACCAAAAAACTTCATCTTGAAAGAGATAAGAACAAAATCAAGGAAAACGGTGGAAACTTAAAATTACTGTTTCAGTTCTCGGGGCCATTCTACTTATATAATCAACTTTCATGGAACACACTAAGAAGTTTGTCAAAAGTGGACATTAAAGAATTTAGAACATTATTTTATTTTTGGTTGGAAAGCCAAGGGCGTGTTTGGTTTGTTTGATTTTTTTTTTAGGTTTAAGTACCATTTTGGTCCCTCAACTATCCACTTTGATATCAAAATTGTCCCTCAACTTTAAAAAATATCAAAATTATCCTCAAACTTTCATTTTCGGTATCAAAATAATCCTTCCGTCAGTTAAATAACAGGTGGGACATTATCTTGCCACAAAATCAGTTTTTTTGTTTCTTTTTTTTCTTAACTAATGACATGGAAAAAAAAACATAATTAACATTATTTTTATGAGTTGGCATTTTCATTTAATTTAATAATAATAATTCTTTTTTTTTTTTTCATCCATATCATCTCTTCTTTCTCTTTCACTTTCTTTCTCTTGTTCCTTCTTCTTCCTCTCCAAATCAAACCCAAATCTGAGTTTTTCTCAAACCTAGATAACTCCTCCGACACCACTTAAATACAACAAAAGAGAAACTAAATCACAATCCAACAAAAAAACCTCAAATACACGCATTCGAATTTCACCAAATCAAGACAAATCACGTGGATGCGAATAAATCAAAAAGAAACAGTACCGAACCACCGAAGACTCGATCTGTAACAAACCAAAACCCAAAATGCTAGCGAAATCAACACAGAAACTAGCGAGAACTGATTTAAAGAGAACCGAAAATTCTAGTTCCATCAAGACAAAGAACAGTAGCAAAATCAGGACCAATAATCACCCATAAGAGTTCGAAAAAACAGAACAAAAATGAAGCTCTCACTAGTGGCTAGCTCGTTCTTGAGAGAAACAGATATTCTCCACAAACAACCACAAACAATTGCTCCATAAAAGAAAAAAAGAAACAAAACCGAAAACAGAAGAAGTCGACCTTGGTGGAGAGACAAGCACCCGAGGCGATGGCAACGACTGTGACGGCGACGTGAGTGATGGTGGAGGTGATGGCGCCGTGGATAGCAAGGATAACACCGGAAGAAGCAGCGGCAATGGCATTTAAAGAAACAGAAATTGTGAATCTGCTTCTGCTTAATTATCTAAGCCTAAGAGACACCCAAATCTGGGTTTGAGAATTGGGTTTTTCTCAAACATGCATAAAGACAAGCGCACGAACATTCATAGAAGCTGTGGAGCTCTGTGAATTGCAATGGCATCTATTTTGTAGATCTCGAAACCCTATCTTTTAAACACCCAGATAAGAATCTTTAAAATAAAAATCAAAAACCTTTCTTTCTCTCCTAGTTAGAAGACAACCCCGGAACAAAATCCTCAGAGGCATAACCGTCGGCATGATCATG